GCTTAGTTTACGACTAATTCAAAATAATTTAAATTTGATTTGCATTCGAAATGGGATTAAATTAACTACTTGTTGCTTAGAAACAAAATCTGAACTTTGAAGTACGAACATAAATCCTTCGAGTATAAATGAGTTAATTAGATTGAGATGATCCAATGAAGAGATTATAAATCTTTCATAACAATTAGCATTCAATTATATTGGATTATTTATTAGTTGTTATTATTGTGTGAATGAATTTGATTAGATTAACTTACTTTGAATTTCCTCGATTGTTTGTGTAACTGTCCCTTCTTCCGGGTGAAGTCCGAGTTGTTTCAAAATGTGTTTAAATGTCGAGATGTCAAGTTTACCTTCTTTATTAGCGAGAGAATTGAAATAATCTTTCAAATCACTTTCCTTGATTTCCAATTTGTCGCCCATTCTTATGATTTAATAATTAACACAAAAAATTGATACTTAAAATAAGGGAAAAAGAAAAAATGAGAGAGTGAGGTGGCGAGTGAGCGAATCAGTGAGATAATGTATGTGTGAAAGAAAGAGAGAGAGAGAAGAGATGAACAAATTAAAACGAATTTGAATATTTACAGAAAACAATTAAAACTCGAAAACAACAAAAAAGGATATTCACTTGAAAGAGACACTGAAGATGTGGCGATGATGATGATAATAATAATGAAGATGAGGTGGTGGATGAAAAATAAGAATATCTTCCCTCCTTGGAACAACTGAGAACGAAAATTTTGGCGATTGGACAATTTTTACTTCATAGAATAACCTCAACCACTCTCACTCTCTTTCTCTCTCCATCTTTCTTTATCTCTTTCTACATTTTGCTTCTCTCTCTCTCTCTCTCTCTCTCTCTCTCTCTCTTTCTTTCTTTCTTTCTTTCTTTCCTCCATGATAAATATAAATTCAACGCCAAGAATACTCTCTCTCTCTCTCTCTTTTTCTCTCTTCGCTTGAGTCTTGGCTTAGATGAGCCATTGTGAGAAATCCGCCTCTTCGAGAATCTAATCATTCTCTCGTTTTATGTCGACTTTTCTCCATCATCTCCAACGTAATTAAAGAATCAAGTGAGAAGTAGAGAATAAATTGTTATAATTAAAAGGTTGATGAAGAACATGTTCCAAGTGATTGAGATGATGGGGAAGAGGCGGAGATCGTTTACAGTTGGGATTTTTTAGGAGATAATCTGTCTCAGAGTCTCTTCCGTTTATCGTCATCTTCCTTTTCTTATATTATTTCTTTTTCTCTTTCTCGTTCGCAGCTTTTATTCTTGGCGTTGAATTTATATTTATCATGGAGGGAAAGAAAGAAAGAAAGAGAGAGAGAGAGAGAGAGAGAGAGAAGCAAAATGTAGAAAGAGATAAAGAAAGATGGAGAGAGAAAGAGAGTGAGAGTGGTTGAGGTTATTCTATGAAGTAAAAATTGTCCAATCGCCAAAATTTTCGTTCTCAGTTGTTCCAAGGAGGGAAGATATTCTTATTTTTCATCCACCACCTCATCTTCATTATTATTATCATCATCATCGCCACATCTTCAGTGTCTCTTTCAAGTGAATATCCTTTTTTGTTGTTTTCGAGTTTTAATTGTTTTCTGTAAATATTCAAATTCGTTTTAATTTGTTCATCTCTTCTCTCTCTCTCTTTCTTTCACACATACATTATCTCACTGATTCGCTCACTCGCCACCTCACTCTCTCATTTTTTCTTTTTCCCTTATTTTAAGTATCAATTTTTTGTGTTAATTATTAAATCATAAGAATGGGCGACAAATTGGAAATCAAGGAAAGTGATTTGAAAGATTATTTCAATTCTCTCGCTAATAAAGAAGGTAAACTTGACATCTCGACATTTAAACACATTTTGAAACAACTCGGACTTCACCCGGAAGAAGGGACAGTTACACAAACAATCGAGGAAATTCAAAGTAAGTTAATCTAATCAAATTCATTCACACAATAATAACAACCAATAAATAATCCATGATAATCCACTTCTAATTTCGTCGATTATGTAATGCTAGACTTTTCGTTTCTGAGTCATGACAAAATACTCGAAGTATTCGGAGGTGTAAATATAGATGATTATCTTTGAACAAATTTAGCTTCTCATGGTTGATGAAAAGCTAAGTGATTGCTCTGAACAAGACTGTCTTTCAGTGTAAACTATTAACAATCAATTCTAAATAACTAATAGATAATTTTAGAAACATTAATCAGCCATCAGAATGAATCTCACAGTTGAAAAGTTCTAAAATCGGGACCACAGGTTCGAAGTCTAGTTTAAATATAAATACATTATGTCACTTCAAGACTTTAGAAACTGTATCGATGTTAACAGTAACTAGGATTCTACTTTAATTGTTCAGATTTAATTTGATGTTTCGGCTTTGAAATGCTGTTCAATTTGAAGCGAAATCAGTTCCAGAATTTAAACCGTTAAGTACATTACATCAAGATTGATTGAATGATTTGCTTTTAATTTTTACTAATTTGAATTGTAATATTTTGTTTTATATTCTGATTTGATTTATTCACTTATTATTTTCTCTGATCATGATTAAGGCGATGGTTTTATTACTTCTGATAAATTGAAAGCTTTTCTGGAAACTATCGCCGAGAAACATGGTAACTTGCGAAAACTTTTCGATTGGATTGATGCCGATAAAAATGGTTACCTTGATCGGTACGAGATTAAAATGGCCTTTGCGATGTCCAACAAGCCTTTTACCGCGGAAGATGTTGAAAGATTGATGACTGAATGTGACACTGATCGAGATGGAAGAATTAGTTTCCTAGAATTCAGACAAAGTCGAATGTCCAGTTTATTCACCGACGTTTGTTAAAAATGTCCAACAGAATAATCAACATAATAACAATAACAACAACAACAACAATCAGTTAATTATGATTACCAATCAATTGAAAAAGTAAATTTAACAGAAAAGCTAAAGAATGAAAAAGAAAATCGTTTGATCAGAACTAAATCATACACATAAACTACATCGAAATCATGAAGTTCAGTTTGTATCTTCATCTTAGGTCAAACATTTTTGCAATTTATCTTAATTCTCACACCTTAATCATCTTAATTACTGTGATCACATCCTAATTGTTAACACACTAGGTTCATGTGTATCCAGATGAATGAAAAAAAAGAAACGAAACATTTGAATCAATTACAATTCTATTCATTAAATCAAGTTCAATGAATTTCGATAACATTTTCAATCAAATTCATTGTGGATGTTAATCCATGAAAGAATCAAATTAATTTACTTTGCCAATGAGAAAAGAGCATCAACATTAATCCAAGAAAAAAGACTAATCCTTGTTTAATCTAATCAATTGTTTCCATCAACTTTGTTTTCTTCGTGAGTTTTGTAATCCGTTTTTTGGCTCATTTTTAATTTTTCGTCTAAAATCAAAGTTAATTAAACTGTTGATCTAATTTAAATTCCCAATTAAACCAAATAAAGTAAGTAGATCTCTCGCTATTCCACAATCAAAGTTAATTTTTCACCATTGAAATTTTAGATTAATTCAATTGTGACATTCTCGAGGAATAGTCTTTATATTAACCACGAGAATCGTTTAAATAGCCAAAAAATTGGATAATTTTTTATCATCAAATTAATTAATGAGAATCAGGTTCAAGTGATTAGTTGTAATTTGTTTTCTTATTATTTAGTAATCAATAATTGTCGCAATTTACTTAATTTTGGTTCTTTGGTTTATTTTGGTTTTCTCGACCCTTAGAGGTGAAGAGGTTAAAATCCTTTCCTTAGTGTTATCACCTCGATTTATTTATATAAGTTGAATTTGACATTGAGGGATAACAAATTGTTATAACAAAATCATCATGTTGACGATGATAAAATGATTATAAAAGAAGATAAAATTTTGTAATCTGGCAGAAATTCAATTTAAAACAAAATTGATAATCTAAAACTACTTGTTGATTGAAATTTTCACACAAGTTGAATGAAAATATCATTCATCTTTTCAGGATACACTGGAAAAGATGAGACAGTAAATTAATTCCTATGAACATATGCATGGATTAAGTTGACTGTTAAATCACGTAACACATAATCTGCATTAGTTATCTTGATGATTTAATGTTGTAAAACATCCTGGTAATTGAAAAGTTTCAATAATCTCAAGATTGATTACACTTTACAGTAAAGGAAAAGGTGAATCTCAATGTAATACTATCAAGTATAGAGATCTAATCAAGATTTTCCTCATCGAAAATGTCTTCAAAATCATTATAAAAATCGGTATGAACAAGTTTATCATTAGATGTAAGGTCCATCATAACGGTACCCGAAGTGTCATCAAAATCCATGTACTGTCCACCCTCTGGAAACATTTCATCAACCACAACACTTGCAGAATTTGAGCCTCCGGGCTTATTACCACCAACAGGAATTGGCCTCATCTTCCCCTGGTTAACTTGGTCCCGAAGAGAATCTGTGGGAACCAAACCAAAAAAAAGAAGAACAAAACAATTAAACAATTAAACAAACAAATGATTAGAAGCAACAATTAAATTACAAGAATAAAAAAACAAAACAAAAAGTGTCAACACAATTGAGGAATTGAAGAAGGAACCAAAATACTAACCCAGTTTTACTTGTTAAGATTTCGCTAATTAAAACAAATAGAAAAAGAAAACAAATTGAGAGTAAATACCAAAGATCAAAAGGTTGAGAACAATAAATTAATCCAATTCCAATTGTGATTAGACTATTTAATTAGCGTGGAAAAGATTAAATTTAGTTGGTTGATTGGTTTTAAATTCCAAAGTAAAAGTCATCTGGTGATCTACTTGTTACTCGAATTCGCCGCCACTAGAATGCAGCGTGTTTTCGGCGGCGCTGGTGGTTAGAGAATTGGGATCATTGTTCCTATATGATTGTTGATTTTCAGTTGAATGTTTCAATTTTTTTGTTCTTTTTTTGTTTAATTGTTTTTGTCAAGTTTTGTCATCATGAATAGTGAAAATTTTAAAAACATCAAGGGGGGTTCGTTAATCAACGATTCGGGATTTTGTTCTGTGGCTCAATCAATAATCGATGATGAATGGAAACGCAATGACCAAAGTCAAGCTTCATTACCTTCACCTAATCAGCAAATGCAACCTGATAGGATGGAAATGGCATCGAAAGCTATTCCAATTTTAATTGATCTTTTGGTCGATGAAGATACTGTTGTTCAGAAAAAAGCTCTGGACATGGTTCTTCAATTATCACAGGAAACAGGGAGTCGTGAGATGATCAGTGATTCTCCTCAGCTAATTGCCGTTCTTCTTGATACTCTTTCAAAGAGTAATAATTTGGAATTGATTGAGAATGCTGCTGGTATTTTATACAATATTTCTGAACATCATCTTGGTCGTCAAACAATTCATAAACTTTGTGGTATCCCGGAATTGATCCGAATCCTCAGCTGTGACAGCGAATCCGTCATCCATCTTGCAATCTCTGCCTTACATTTACTACTTTTACACCAAGATGGATCAAGAGAGGCTGTAAGATTAGCTCAGGGTTTACCTGTCATGGTTTCGTTACTTTTCAATCCCAATGAACAATTTTTATCTATCGTCATTGACTGTATCCGTCTTTTAGCCTACGGCGACTCTGAGACCAAACTTGTTATAAATCATCTTGGTGGTACCAATGAGCTTGTAGGAATTTTGAAGAATAGCTCATATCCACATCTACTTTGGGTGACATGCAGCACCTTGAAAGTACTATCTGCATGCCCAATAAACAAACGAGCTATCATAGATTGTGGTGGCTTACAAGCCTTATCATTACAATTGAATCCAAACATTGACATTCATGTTGGTAATTGTTTGTTCACAATAAGAAACCTTTCAGATGCTGCTGTCAATGAAGAGGGATTGGATATGTTATTGTCTAAAGTTTTGGAAATCCTTCAGGCCACATTAGCCGATACAGCCACACATGAACCCACCATTACCTGTGTCGCAGGTATTTTATCAAATCTTACGTGTAATCAAACCAATAAGAAAATAGTTTACGAATTGGGTGGAGTTGAGCTTCTAGTTGAAACGATTGTCGCTCTACGAGCCAACAATGAAATTATTGAACCTGCTGTTTGTGCTCTTCGTCACTTGACCTGCAGATATTTCGAAGCTGAATTGGCAGCTCATAAAATCATTCAATGCCAGGGTCTGGTACCAATAATCAACTTATTACATTCGCGTAGTTGGGCCATTAAAAAGGCTGTTGTTGGTCTAATCAGAAACATCGCATTGTGTGAGGCCAACATTGTTCCGCTTCGTGAACATTTTGTTATACAAAAATTAGCTGCTGTGCTCGAAGAAGCCAACATAACTGCTCAATCCTATGACATTGGCGGAGGAATAGTTTCACCTGTTGATCCTAAAATTGAGACCATAATAGAAGAAGCCACTTCGACATTAAAGATAATGGCCAAAGATCCATTGAACAAGGAAATGATTGATGGAATTGTTTGCTATTTTACCAATAGCGTCCAGATTTAATTCGATAAGAGTTTGATGATTATTATCAAAGAATATCAATTGATTAGTAAATTGTGGACAGAACCAAATTGGTAAATTAATCGTTTAATAAACTAATATTTTATTTACTTTTAACTATTTTTTTGTAGTAGTGATTTTTTAATAGATTAAATTTTTTATAACCTGACACTGAGCTCTTTAAATTGTTCCCTTCAATAATTTAAATTGATTTTGTTAATCAGCGAATTGGAATGAAATGAAAAGTTCAACTGATGCGACATTTTTGATTTTCTTGTTTATTTGATTGCAACTTTGAAGTGACAAGACTAAGCTTATTAACGTTAATTCTTTCATTAATTGTTGATTGTTGGTCAACATTTGATTGCGCTACTACTTGTCAAGGGACAATTTTATTTGATTATTTGTGGCTAATTGTGATTGATCAACCAGGAATGAACATCTTCCCAATCATTCACGTTCTAAGTGTTGTACTAAATTTAACCAACGGATTAAATGAAACAAATAGTTCACAATTAACGGAGCCTTCGCCATCTTCATTGTTACAGGGGGAAGTTCAACCTTATCCCTTGGTTCATCCAACAGAATCTCAGCTGATTAGTGATTCTGAGATTCTGATGTTCTGATGCCGCAGTCTCCTGAAAGTCGACGAAATGTCCAAAGTCAAGGATCGCATTCTGATGTTGCACATAAGTAAGTTAATAAACGACTCGAATAATCAATGACGATGATCTTTAATTTGTTTATTTTAATTTTCGAAAATCCTAAAGAAAATCTTCCGGTCATGATAATCGAGATGCTGCTCAGAAATGGAAACAAGGTTCAGAATCAAATGACCACGAAGATGAGAAATTGGTCGAAGAATATAATAAGAATAAAGGTCGAGTGTATGAGAAAAAATGGTCATGGGAAAAAGAAAAAGGCTCCGGACATGGTTGGGAGAATCAGGGTCATTCTAATCGCGATCATTTGAAAGGTTCAAATAATCGAGAATATGAATCAGGATCGAAAGGTAATCAAGGAAAAGAGAATTGGTCACAAGAGAAGAAAAAATCTCATAAACTCGAAGATAATTATGGAAAGAAATTCGATTCTAAAGGTTCAAAGGAAGAAGCCAAAGATTCACATGATCATCATGATTCTGGAATCAATCAATTTGATGATTCACATTATCGGAAACAATTTAGTTACCTTTAAATTGACCATTTAAATTTAATTTCCAAAAAGAGCCCAATTAAATTGCCATTCATTCAACAAAAGAAAATAATTTGTTAATCATCGTATTTATTTTCCTTCTCATTAAATTCATCACTTAATTGTCACTATTTTTATCTGATTGTTGAAAGAAAATTTTAAAAAATTAGTTTAAAGTATAAAAAAGTCACTTTTGACTTTTGATTGATAATTTATTATATTCGATGTTTTTTCAGATCATAGAAATTAGTTAATAGCAATTTTAGTGAAACCATGTAACATATCTTGATGATTTAATGTTGTAAAACATCCTGGTAATTGAAAAGTTTCAATAATCTCAAGATTGATTACACTTTACAGTAAAGGAAAAGGTGAATCTCAATTTAATACTATGAAGTATAGATATCTAATCAAGATTTTCCTCATCGAAAATGTCTTCAAAATCATTATAAAAATCGGTATGAACAAGTTTATCATTAGATGTAAGGTCCATCATAACGGTACCCGAAGTGTCATCAAAATCCATGTACTGTCCACCCTCTGGAAACATTTCATCAACCACAACACTTGCAGAATTTGAGCCTCCGGGCTTATTACCACCAACAGGAATTGGCCTCATCTTCCCCTGGTTAACTTGGTCCCGAAGAGAATCTGTGGGAACCAAACCAAAAAAAAGAAGAACAAAACAATTAAACAATTAAACAAACAAATGATTAGAAGCAACAATTAAATTACAAGAATAAAAAAACAAAACAAAAAGTGTCAACACAATTGAGGAATTGAAGAAGGAACCAAAATACTAACCCAGTTTCACTTGTTAAGATTTCGCTAATTAAAACAAATAGAAAAAGAAAACAAATTGAGAGTAAATACTAAAGATCAAAAGGTTGAGAACAATAAATTAATCAAATTCCATTAATAATCATTGATTAGACTTTTAATTAACGAGAAAACAATTGGTAAATTTAAAAGGAAAATCAATCGAGACTCTGGCGACCCCTAAGTTTTAAATTCCGCGAAATTTAATAGTTTTTACTTTAAAAATCAAAGATTAATTAAGAGAGTTGAACAAAACTTAATCTAATGAATCTGATTCAATTTATTTCACATTTTGAAATAACTAAATGTCTCCATGTAATATTATTAGTATCATAAGCGTTAACTGTTAATCTCCATCAGTTGATATTTTTGTGTAATTGTATCATGATTAACATCAAATTCTGGAGTCAAGTTCTATTGCCAACTGAACTTTTATCATCAGTTGAATTTTCATTCGATGATCTGAAGCCTCTGGAGTAAGAAAGAGGATAAGAAATAGCTTTTAACTTCTCCCTTACAAGAAGAAAAATTTAGTTTAGCTAATTAAGAAAAAGGGAAGAGAGAATAAGGATGAGGATGAGAAAATGAGGAGGGAGTGGATAGAAAATTGTAGAAGATTAAGATACAATTATGAGAAAGATTTGGCTTTTTGTTGGTCAGTAGAATCTAAAAAGGAGAGAAAGAAAGAAAGAGAGAGAGAGAGATCTTCATAAAAGCTAAAATGACCACCAGGTAGTAGATACACAGGTAGATACTCAAGTGTAGAAAAGGAACAAAGAGTAATGATGTTTTTCTCTGGTAAGAAGGAAGATGAGGGGATGAGGAAAAATGATGAAGGAGAAGTTGAGAGAAAAAAATTGACCATAATGAGCGTTGAAAGGCTTTCACAGATTTGCAAAAATGTCCATAATCGGATTATAAGGGGTCATGCTTTTGGAAGATCTTGAGTCTCTCTTAGGCAGGGTGGGGATTGTGGCACAACGTTCTTTAGCCCCAGGGCCAGTCCATTGTCCACAAAGTGTTTCCAATACTTCACGAGTATAGTTAATGATCAACTCATGTATGTATTCATCAGAGTCTGGGGGGCAAATACCTTCAATACCCTTCTCCATACAAGCTCTGAAAAATGAAGAGTAACTGTAAGATCATAAGTCCCACCAACCAAATGATATATTAGGTTAGAGGAAGACAAATACCAGAAAAGGGAGAAGAGAGAGAGAGAGAGAGAGAACAACAGGTAAAAAGAGAAAGATAATCATTAGTAAAGAAGAAGAAAATGACGATAAAAAGAAAGAGAGATTAAAGTAGAGAAAAGAGAAAGAAAAATAAAAGAAGAAGATTAGTAAAAAGATTAGAGAAAAACAAACAATATGAATGAAGAAAATGAAGGAACAACAAGATGAGATGATTACAGAGAAAAGGAGATTAAGACAAATATTGGAACAAATTACACAACAATTAACAAAGAAAATTAGGAGAAACAATTAATCGTAATCAACATACCAACAAGTCATTGCAATTTTATTCCTCGAATCAGCACCTTTGATCCTCTCGAGATTGTCGATATATTTGTCCATACATTGGTGTAGAGCATTGATATTCTTGTTGACACATGAGAATCGACGAATGAATTCTAATAATGATGAGGAAAAAAAGAACAAGAGAAACAATTAAGATAATTAAAGAAGAAAAAGCAATATAAGTAAATGAAGATGGATGAAGAAGGAAGAGATAAGAACAATCAATCAAAGGACGAGATTAGATGAGAAAGGAGAACAATTTATATTAATGATAGAAAACAATGAGAAATCAATTGATTAACAATCGATTATCAATCTTACCTTGTCTTCCCTCTTGAGTGTTGCAAATCCTATTGACATTGGTTTCGACAGCTCGATTTAGGACCGATGATATTTGTTTCGGTAAAGGTAGAAGACATTGGCTCGAATATGATTTTAGACATTTACCTGCTTTTCGAACAGATCTAATGATGTAAACAGAAGAGATTATTTTTTATTCGATAGAAAAAAGTTTGATTATCATGGTGTAACTTACGAGCAATATTTGTCCATTTCACTGATTGTTTGGGGCATTCGCGATTCCCTGTTACCAACGACAAACAATTTAGAAGCACAAACATCAGCTTCTATTGCTTTTCCAGGTGGACATTGGTCAGCAAGGGTCACTAAATGGTAGAAAAGTTGGAACAATTAATCAACAGACTTGAAACATTATCATGTTGCTAAATTTTTAGATAAAACAAAGGGTTGAATTGAACTAAAGTTTAATTGATAATCGTTTCTAATGAAAACTTACAATCAAAAGTAATTAAAGTAAACATTAGTGATGGTAAAAGAAATACAACTGATTCCATATTAAAACAATTGAATTTTTACTTTGAAACACAAATAATTATCTTTGACTGGTTAGGATGAGGAAAATGTTGGTTAGTCTTTTAGCACTTTTGAGAAAATAAGTTTGTTTCTGTAAAAAATATCATCTTCAGACAAGAAAACAAGAAAGTGACCAGCATAGTGACCATTAACATCCATTGAAGCTTTATTACAATTGTAATTAACTTTAACTTGTCCAGTTAAAAATGTAAACTATCGAAATCAATGTGTCTCCATTCAAAAATAGATTGATTATTATTTCTCCATGAATTTTATATTTGCACAGCAATCGACAATCGGGAGCTCCAAGCTCTTTATTCAAAATAATTTTAAACTTATTCTAATAGTAGTTGTTTGAACATGAGAAAATTTCATCATGATAAACTGATTCTTTCATTTTTATATTTCCACTTTTCAAATTTAAAAAATGATCGTAATGTATTAATAATAAGTGAAAAAGAACAAGAGATGAATTATAAAATGATATCATCTTCTTGTATATTGAAGAAATTGTTTGCTATTTGATCGATTGCGTCCAAATTTGCTCCGATTACAGTGTGGTGATTACCTTCAAAATAGTGTTCGGTTCCAAGCTAAGAGAAAATAAAGAAATATTCAGTTGATTAGTAATTGTTTCGAATAAAATTGGTAAATCAACCAATGAGTTTAAATGTTTACTTACTTTGAATTGAGTTTGTTTTGCGTTTTGGAATAATGGTAAATCAGTTTTAGCTCGAATATGAATTATTTCAGTTAATTTCGAATTCAGTTTTGGTGAATAATTGATGAGCATTTGTCCTTTTTGAAAAGTTAACTCATTAACTTTAGAAATCATATCTGCTTTATCTTCGGGAATTCCTTTATCGATCATTATTTTTGTGAACTTTTCGAATCTTTCTTTCGATTGGAACAATGAGCTATTTCCGATCGATTGATTCGCGTCCAAATTCGTATTCTTCGAATGCTCCTTTAACAAATTCAGTCTCTTGTATAATTATATCGTCAGTATAGTTCTCGACATTTTTGTTTTCAATCAGCATCAATAAGAATTAATTTCTCAATTATTGGTCCACTCTTGTATTTATTATTACTCGGTAGCTTTTAACTCAGTAACGGATTTTTAATTAATTTATTTAATTGTTATTGTTTGATTGTCTGCCACCTTATTTCTCGAGACTTTTAAGAAGATAACAACCTAATTTAAACAATTAATCTTCGATAATTGAGTCGATTAATTGATCAATTATCACCTAATCAAATCGAGTCTCCAATTCACAAGCGATATTGTAACAAATAATTCCTCCAAATGAATAGCCAACCATGTGTAATTTGTCATTTGGTAAATGATATTCGGTCAGATAATCAGCATAATAATATGCAGCAGACTCGACTGAGGTAAGAGAGGAAAGATCGTAAGTCCAATTAAGGCCAAGTGCTGGTCTTTTAATACGATCAACGAGACATTTCAACAAATCATAATTTCCTTCAATTGGAGGAACATAATAAATTGGTTTGAATGAATTTGATTTTACTAAATCATTAAGATTACTGATTATTGCTTCTGGAACTTGAAGAGATAAAAGTGATCCAAACTTTTCTTTCGTACCATTCAATTCATTGATGTTCGAGCTGCTATTTGTTAATAATTCTGATGTTTGTTTATCGTTTTTTATTTTGTTTGATAATTCCTTCAATTTAATGATGGTAAGGGCTCGAATTTCTTTCGAATTCATTGAAATACTGTACTGTTTCTCTAAAACTTGTTGAACTTCGACTGCCATCAATGAATCAATACCAAGTTCACCTAAAGTAACATGAGGATCAAGCGAATTGATATCTTTGATGCCTAATATGTGACTGATTGAGCTGATTATGTCTCTAGATACAAATGCAAACTTTTTCCTATCGATTGCTCGAATCCAACTCGATACAACCGGAGAAGGATAGATTAATGCTCGTTCTAGTACAGAGAAACAAGAGTGCATTCGTTGAGCTGCAGTTCCACGAACTGAATCAATGTTAACACCTATTTTTTCAACAACAAATCCAACATCACCAACGTATCCCCATTGAATCGCTAGGCCATGAAGTCCATGTTTGAATCTCTCTTGACAAATCGATTCTATGTAAGAATTGGCTAATCCATAATTAGATTGACCTGTATTACCTCGTCCACAAGCGACTGATGAGAAGCAAACGAAATAATCAACTGGAGCCAACGAGCGAGTTAATTTATCTAAATTCTTTGTTATGCTAATTTTAGATAAACAAACTTTTTCATAAGTTTCAGCATTTTGATCGGATAATAAAGCATCAGACAAAACGAGAGCGCAATTAAATATCCCACCAATTGGATGAGGTAAAAGGGACTCGAAAAGTAAACAACAATCTCGTTCATTAGTTAAATCATGTGTCGATATGCTGACATTAGCACCAAGTGACTCTAATCGCTCCAAAGAAAATTTATGATAAGATGATTTAGGTCCCGATCGAGAATTAAGGACCAATTGACGAACACCTTTTTTGACCAACCAAGATGCTAATTCCAAACCAAATCCACCAAATCCACCAACGATAATATAAGCTTTATTTGGATAGAAAAGCGGTGCTGCGATTGATAATGGGATCGATTTAGTTGATAATATTTTATCAACGACTTTTGATGTTTTCGTTGTCGAGGAATATTCATCCCTAATTTCATGTTTAATCTTAATTAACACTTTACCACTGTGTTTACTTGAGGCCATAAATCGAAAAGCTTCCATAATTTGATCTGCCGCGAACACTTTTCGGGGAAGGGGTTTTACTATTCCTGAAATGATTCCTTTATTTACAAGTATTTTGATTTTCTCTCGGTACTTTTTCGTGATATTTTCATTCTCAGCAAAGCAACTCGAACAATTAGTGAACGCATCGATCAGAATAGCATGGAAAGTTTTATTTTCATCGAAAAGCCCCACGTTGATCTTATTGTTCTGCATCATATCATATTTACCGATTTCAAGGAACCGACCACCCGGTGCTAAACATCTAACACTTGCTTGTAGTTTGTCCTCAGATAATGAATTGAGAATCACATCAACACCTCGACCATTTGTGTGTCTAAGAACATGTTCTTCGAATGAAGTTGATCTCGAATGAGCGAAACTCGTCTCGTCCAGTGAAGGGAATTGTTCTTGAAGAAACTTTCGTTTCTCATCCGAACCAACCGTTGTGAAGATTTTACAATTCATACTTAAACAAATGTTTATCGCTGCAATTCCTACACCTCCTGTTCCTGCGTGGATAAGAACAGACTCGCCCTGGCGAAGTTCACCTCGAATCAATAGACTATAAATCACAGTTGTGTAAACGACTGGTACGGTTGCTGCATCTTCCATGCTCCATGTCGATGGAATAGACCAACAGAAATCATTTGATCCAATTATCAGTTTAGTGGCTAATGCTCGATGAGGGACAATACCCATAACTCGATTACCATTCGAATCGACACCAGCATATTCTACTCCAATCGGTGTTGACATCTCTACAGGAGTGCGCCAATCGGGATTAAGATTAGAAGGTAATCTTCCAGTCGCATGCATAATATCTTTGAAATTAAGAGATGAATAGTTGATCGTCACAAGAGATTGACCTTTTTTAGAATCAGGAATTGGATTGAATTGAGTCCATACAAGTGATGAAAGATCACCAGGAATTAAACACTGGACATAAGCATCTTTACTTTGGATTAAACATTTGCTATCGGTCTCTGGTTTAGTTGGTATCTCGAAGTGACAATAATCTCCCCATCCAAGTTGATCATCATAAATATTGAATTTACAATCATTGGTTATTAGTTGACGGAAAGTTGGACTATGCAAATCAATTGATGATAAATCGATTCCTTTAGAACCAGGTTGAAGAGCAACACAACGAATTCGAGATCCGTAAGGTTCTAAACTCAGACATTTAGCTAAACCGAGTACACTTACATCGGAAACATTTTGACTAACCAACCAAATGATTGATTCTTCGTCGGCTTTTATTTCATCCTTGAGATTATCGAGCCAAGAATATTCAAATGGATTAACTCGGATAATCTTATGTTTCTCAAGATTAATCGATTCTGGTAACTTTTTGAACATTAATCCGACCAAAGGTAACGAATCAGGTGAAAGTGTTCGTTTACTTATACAAACCCAATTATTTTCTTTCATTTTTTCAATCAGTGAATTTGAATCAATTGAATTTGGAAGAAAATCTTTCAATAGATTTTGAAAAAATGGGTTTGATCTGAGACTTTCTAAGTTTGATGAGTTCTCTCTGGTCAATACCAACAAATGACCATTGGGTTTCAGAATCGATTGAATTTTATCAATATTTGAGATAAATGAATCAATCGACTGATTAGTCATTTTGTAAATAACTAAATCGTTTTTACTTAGATCACTTGGAGCGGGTGACTCGTCGATATTCCAAACAATCATATTCACAGTCGAAAGTTTATCAACGGTCTCTGATTCAGGTACATTAGATCGAACCAAAGTATAATCGACTTTCATTGAGCCTAATGATTGTGTTTCGAGAAATGATTGAACGGAATCAAAAAGAAAACATTGAGTATCATTGATTTCGACAATTTTTGATTGCGAATCAATATCTCCACCATAATATTCATGAAGTGTCGCAGTATTTACGAATGGCTTTAAAAATCGTTGATTCGAATAAAAAACGGAATTTTTACCAATCAGTAAGTCATCAGATAGTTTAGAGGCAAATTCTGATGTCGTTGGTTTTTCTCCTCGACACAAACAGATCAAATAATTAGCCAATGAATGTTGGTCTTTTTTCAGGTTAATGGTGTTTGTTAATGATGCAATTTCCTGATCAATGTTACAGTCACTCGAGGTTAGAATCTTTTTTCGTAACAAATCAATAAGACCAAAGACCAGTGATGAATATGATTCGATTGATTGTAAGGTCATTTCATCAACAGCACCACTTTCATCGAATGGAGTGAAATCATAAGTTTCAAGAATAACTAATTGGTTTCTCCGATTAGTATCGGTTGCATTGAGCCCTCTGACCCAAACACCATCAGTTGACAATGTTTGTGTAATTGGATCATGATGAACATCAAATTCAGCGTATAAGTGTTTCTGTGTTATATTTCCAGTTAAACTTTCATCTCCAATTGAGTTTTCATTCGTTGATTCTGAAGCACTTGTGGTTCTAGTGGGTTGAGATGATCTATTGAAACGATTAACTGTCTGCATAATAGAAAATGGATCACAAATTAACAACGGAAATCCAGTCGGAATATAAAGATCACGGTTATTTTTATTAAATAATAAGGCCAATTGTAAGACCGAATCAGTAAATGTTATCCAGGTTTTCAGAAAGCTGAAAAATCCTGCTTGTGCTCTTTCTATCATGGATGAAGCTTTTAATTGCGAACTATTTGGTTCTCGCCATTGAACTTTCCCATGTGATCCTGAGCTCGAAGCTAATTTTATGCATTGAAAATGTGGACCATAATCGTAACCACGAACTCGCAACTCTTTGTAAATATCTTCTTTACTGAGATAATATTCACGAGATTCCTTGTCAAGCTTAGAATGATAATTTCTAACCAGATTTAAATCTGGGTTTCCAAATGCTTTACCAAAAGCAACAACAGCACCACTTTCGGAAATACTAAAAGATCCGTTATAAGGTAAATACTGAACAGTAAACTTAACCTCCTTTTCGGTTAAAACTGTAGCTCGAGTCAGTCTAATATCACGGAATTCAATTGGAAATCGTGTTACTACAGTTCCGAAATACTTAGCAACTGTGTACCATACAAACATCATTAAGCCCGTCGCTGGATAAAGTATTCTGCCATCGATCTTGTGGTCTGCTAAAACCAATCTTCAGAATCAGTAAGATTAACTCGAAATATACTAGTTGTTGAGCCTTGCGTGTCATTAAAGTGTTCAGGATATTTGAAGACTTTCCAATCAGCCGAATGATCAAATTTGATTAATGAATTAAGTGAAAGAGTATCAACTGGAACAGGATAATTAACAGTTGGATATAAATGTTCAAGACAATAGTCGATTCCTTGGTCAGCGTAAATTTTACCTAAACAAGTAAATAAACTGTAACCAGATAGAAACCCTTTGTTGGATAAATCATATCGAATCAGATTAGATGGTGAATTTTGTTGATTAGAAATTGATTTCGGATGAAATGTTGATCATCTGCGTTGACTATCATGGATGAAGCTGATTCTGTCAACTCTAAAATCACACGAATGTACTCATCTGGCTGAAGGATATTTCTGATCAGGTAACTTTTTAAATGGTTCATATTAATGATTCCTTGATATTTAATTGGACGCATAAACAGAACCGTATTGAAATCAAAAAACTCATCGTTCTCTAGCGATTCTTTAGGCCATTTGACCTTAATATTAGCCATTTGTAGATCGACAATTGTATTAAACATTTCATCATAATGTCCAGAGATGATACATGATTTACCTGATGTTTTCTTTGTGAGTTTGATTCCTTCTGATAAATGAGGTTCAATTTGTTCATATGACGATAAAACTTCAATTGTTGGATTAATTATTGATTGATTCTTTATTTGGACGAAATGTCCAAACCAATAAGCCGTTAGAATGACTTCTTGTTCAGTCAACTTGTTGTTGGCATAAAGATAAATCAAAGATCCAATTGTTGGAATCGCAACTCCATCGATATTTAATTGTATCGATTTAATATTAACAATCGCCAATTGAATAGCAATTGATGTAACAATCGATTCCAAAGAGTTGGTAACTCTAATCTCACCGAAAACGAGATCAAATAAATTCAAACCAAATGGTGTGAGATAAGTTGTCAATCTATTGATTGTATCGGAGAAAACAGGCAATTTTCTTAAATCCGAATGAACGTTAATTGCAGTAGTTGATGATGTTAAATAGACTTTTTTCCGTTCAACTGAATCGAGTTGATTTCCAATAAAATGTTTCATTGAATATTTTCCAGGTTCTCCTTCAATCAATGTGAATCCACGATGAGGCATTTTACGAGTTTTTGAATATCCATTAAGAAGATCAAGGAATGATCTGGTTAATTTATTGACCGATGATTCGAGGTAATTTTGGGCACATTTTATGCCTTCAACTGAACGACCAGGGATATTTACTAATCGAGGTAATTTTGATAGAGTTAAATTGAACTCATCAGCCGATGACTGAACATTATGACCACGGAGAATAACATGAGCATTAGCACCGCCGAAACCGAAACAATTCAGTGAAATAATTTCATCTTCGAAAGGAGTAATTGTTGTAACTGGAACAATTTTCTTATTCATTAGTCCTTCAATCTTTGGATTAGGAGTTTTAAAATGTAAATTAGGAGGAATCAAACCTGTTTGAAATATAATGTTGGCCTTAATTGTAGCACAAATACCTGATGCAGATTCAGCATGTCCCATGTTTGATTTTAAACATCCAACTTTCAAAGGAGTTGATGGATCTCGACCAATACAAAAAACATCGTAAATTGCGTTTAGTTCAACGGATCACCGGCTTGAGTACCAGTACAATGAGCTTCGACGTATTTTACTTTGGTTGGATCAAGACCAACTTCGGTGTAGGTTTCATAAATCAATTGTCGTTGTAAATCGATCGAAGGAAATGAAATGCCCTGATCTTTATAACCATCGGCATTGGATCGGCAATTATTTATCGTTGAGTAAATGCGTCTAGCATCTGATGCTTTTTGTAATACGATACAGCAAATGCCTTCAGATCTTCCATAACCATCAGCTGATTCATCGAGACATTTTGATTTACCATAACGGAAACCATTTGTAGGTCACGAAACTGCAAAGTGACCGCTGGTACTAAGCAAATGTTGAATCCAGCGACCAAAGCTTTATCACAAATCCCTAACTTAATAGCTGTAAATGCTTCATTTAGAGCAGCGAAACTTGACCCGCAGGCGGTGTCAAAGTGACACACTGGTCCTTTCAGATCGAAAATATAAGGAATCAATGTCGTATACATTTGTTTGTATTCAGGATACTCAAGTGGCTCCACCCCAAGCTATTTCGGTCTCAGCAAACGACGACCCATAGAAAAATCCAGTTTTAGAACCTCTTAACGTTTCAATTGACAAACCTGAAAAGAAATGAAATAAAGTTTTCAATCAGTTTTATTATGATTAGTTGATAATAAAAAATTGTCCGAATTTATAGAGTAAAAAAGTTTTACACTTATTAGAGTTTGTGCACACAAAGCATCATAACTATTTAAATATTAATGAAACTCTTGATAAACTATTGATCGATAATCATTTCTTACCCGAATCAATGATCGCCTCATAAGTAACTTCCAGTAACTTTCTCAATTGTGGATCCATATGATGAGCTTGATATTCAGGAATCGAAAAAAATTGAGCATCGAATTTGTTTAGATTACAAACTTTTCCACTTGCTTGAGGTAAACCATGATGACCTATAAATCAATCAATCCGACCATTAACAGCAATTTATAAATTATGATAAACCTAAGATAATTAGACTGATTCGCAAATCTTTGCTTTTAAACAGCAGCGCAAACAAAAACACTTTTTCGCAATTAAAGTTATTATCATGAAGAGTAACAACTGAACAAGATGAACTTTTCTACCCAAACTATTGAAATTATTCAATTACCTGAACGGAATCGATCATTTCCTCCGGTCATCATATCAACAGATTTGAACAGATTATCAGCAAGCTCATCCACCGATTCTGATTTCGGGAATCGTCCAGACATTCCCGAGATGACCACATCCTCTTTCACTTTCCATTTACGATGAATAAAGTTATCATTGTATTTAATATCCATGTTCTTTGCTTCCAACTAGACAAAATATCAGGACAGTTAACAAAAAATCAAAAACAATAATAATAAATCAACGGAAACAAATTAATTAAAATCGTATCGATAGCAATTAAGAATAATATCACTTGGGAGAAAAAGAGATTTGGTGAAATCGTTAACCATTTATCATAAATAAAATAAAAGAATGAATTTCTCTCGATAACCGATTTTGTTAACGAATGAAAATGAATCAAATTTATCTGATCGTAAGTAAAGCGAGTTGCAGTTTAAAATTAAAATTTCTTACCTTAAATTGTGATAAAAACAAGAAAAATGTTAGCAATTTAATTGAATCGCCATCTTCTTATCACAATTTCAGATAATTTAGTATTTTAAACTGCAACCGACCTTATCTTTACATCGTTTAGCTACCTACGAATGTGCTCAATGCATGTATACGCAAATAAATCATTTCCATCATAGATAAGATTATATTAATTATATTTTGCAATAAATCAATGATAAAAATAGTTGATAAAGAGATCATATTTATCAAATGTATTTGCATATTGTCCTTGGATAATCAAAAAAAGAAAGCCTTGAAAGAAAGAAAAAGTTTTATCTAATCAAATAATTAAATCATTTTGCATAAAATCGAAACGACAAAAACTGACATGATATTACTATTTACAGGGCTTTTGGAGATCGAGATGAACATCAACTATACATGTAAAGTGGCCTCAGAAAGTTGTAATAGAAGCTACATATACAATATTTGTCTAATCTCACTAATTGTCTGTTGTGGGACATTCGCGATTCTTTATTACTCACAATAAACTTTAAAGCACAAACATCAGCTTATGCTTATGCTCTATTGCTTTTCCGGGTAGACAAGTTCTCACTTCTTGGTTTACACCCAAATATGCAGAACAAGTGTATCAATGTGGTCAATACATCAACAGATATACAGCCGTGAAAATTGAGTTTGTGCTTTTTTTAAATCATTTGCGCAAAACTTCATAACTTAATCACAACGATTGATTAGATAAATTTAACACTACCAACTCTACATTTTTATATTTTTAATTTGCTTTAGTCAACCAAGATGCTCAAAGGAATAAAATAAAAAGCACAAACTCAATTTCCACGGCTATATAGAGAGATAGGTTAACTGATAAATTATCAAAATTAATGGAACTTGTAACAAAATTATCGATTAATTGTAGACTATGTATTGTTTCTGTTGATGGTACCATGATGATGACCATGATAATGTTATTAAATATACGTTATTGATTTTAGAAGGTTCTAGAGGTGATCATGATACTTTGATCATGATCATCTTCATGGTCTTATTGTAATACATTGTATTTTACATTCAGTCGCACTTTCCTCTTCCCTTAATCAACATTAAAGTTCTTAAGTTATATTTAAGTCTTTGAATTAATTGTGATTGTTTATAATAATTAGTAATATTCTTAAGGTGAATTCGAATCTTACGATTCATATGGCGACCAAGGCAGGATGGTGATTTAATTTGAAAAATTATTCAGTTGTTATTTTCAAGAGTTTTGCGTTTTCAATCTTGAACCATTGGTTTGTTTCAAAATTCGGTTGACAGTTGTTTTTCTGAATTGGTAAGTTTCCAACCAATTTTTTTACCTTATTCTTTGTAATTGACTATAACAGCTTAAAGAGCAAGTTGGCCAATTTCACAATTAATTTGGGTTTTGTGATAATAATTAGATTTTTAATTTAGCATCAATTATAAAAATTAAGGGAATTAAAACTGAAATAAGAAAGTTGTAATTTAAAAAAAAACTTAATAAGAATCGATAATGCAAAATTATCTCTTGTCTGAGCCAAATTTAAATATATATGGATTGAATGGTGATAATGATCAAGACATTTTCGATTGGCACGAAAATTTTGAATGTGCAACTACTGCTGTTGGATGGGATGATGACCTTCGATTGAAGAGATTTCCGTTATTTATCACCGGCACTATTAAAATTTGGTACATTTTTTATATAAAAATAAAGGTAAGATTATACTTTAGCCCCCCTTCTGATTATCCTGAAATTTTTTGTATGAATAGTCAATACCAATATGTGTATTCATGAGTAGTATGAACTTGCGGAAATGTCTAGTATAGAAGTTACAGGGATTCAAAAATAGAAATTTGCATTGAGCTTTATGGAGTAATTCGTTATTTTGCCGAACATGAATAGGCTATCATTAAGTTCTGAAAGTTAAGCATCATGATCGTTATGTGTCGATGTTCAAAATGCGTGAATTTAATGCGCATTCACAAACATTATAATAGCTAAAACTGCATTCAAAATTGTTATTTTTAAACTTTGCGCACTCATAGTAGTGCAAATTGATTTTTTGTAGATGGCACCGCATGTCTGCACCTATATAATAATGCAGATGCATCAGAAAGCCTCATTTTGATTTTGACTCCTGAGTCGACAACATCGGGTTTTTCTCTCTCTCTCTCTTGTTCTCTCTTGTTCTCTCTTGCTCTCTCTTGTGCTTTCGTCTCCACTAACCCTTTTTTCCCCTTCTCTTTCTATCACCCCTTTCTTCTCTATCTTTCTCCTATTTTAGGTCCGGTCTCCCCGCATAACGGTAGCCATGAGTCAGCATTACGCTGGGCTCAAACAGAAGGTCTCCTTCTGGCTACCAACGACTGCGGCCAGCAACGAATCCCGATGAACTATTTTGTTGATCGGGGATCCTTTGGATCATTTCGGTGCCCTCGCCATAAAAATCACAGCACCAGTGAGCGAAGTGCTGCTAGTGGTTCTTTCTTCGAGAATTCGAGGATCCCACTAGTAGACCACCTTCGTCTCATTTATTCCTGGGCTGCTGATGCTGCTTACGAGGAGGCAGAGAATGAGGCCTCTGTCTCCCCGAACACTGTGGCTTCCAGCTACACCCAGTGTCGCTAGGTCGTGTCTTCCATGTTCCTAGGACATCAGGAACATTCGGGGCGGATTGGTGGTCCCGGTATTGTGGTTCAAATTGACGAGGCCAAATTTGGTCGTCGAAAATACCACAAAGGCAGGTTCATCGAGGGTCATTGGCTGCTAGGGATTATATTGGATGGTTCGGAGGACTTAGTACTTTAGTTAGTTCTGCAAGTTCATACTACATTAATACACATATAGGTATTGACTGTTCATACAAAAAATTTCAGGACAATCAGAAGGGGGCTATAGTTTAGCCTTATTAATCAATTGATTATCTCTCTCTTTCTTTAACTAAAAGAATCTTGTTTACCAAAGTAAATTACCCTAGTAAACAAGTTAATGATTTCGATCAATGATCACAAGTTTTAAACAAATCAAATTTCAGAGAGTAAATTTAAATTCAATTGAAACAATAAAGACAAGAGATTTTGACCATTTCGTCAATTCAAACAAATTAAAAAGATCAACTTATCTTTTACTTTCCTCCATTTTGGTTCCCACGAAAAGAAAAAATTCGTCACCAACATGAAAAACAAAAAAAAACAAAGAAAGCATACAATTCATATTCATTTTAAAATTCAGATTTTGATATAAATACATTAAGTTACCTTTTTCTGTCGATTCTCCTTCTCTAATTAATCAATTAGTTCCTCGTAATTAAAACAATTACCTCTAAAATAGAAGAAAAGAAAAAGCCTTAGTATTGTAAACGGTCAAGGTAAATTACCCTGAACCGAAATTACAAACACCAGATTCTGATTGATTAATCAACTAAGTTAATCGGAAACAATCAATTGATTAACTCACAAAAGTAAATGACCCTTATTAAGTTAATCAAATTGATCAAAATTAAACAATTAAAACATAAGAAATTACAAATTTCAACTTACCTTCTGATGTGAACGGGGTTCCAATTGAGAATTTCTCACAGAGATTCTGAAAAACTATTCAGTCGATTTTCATGATTCAAACACTATCAGAATAAGCACATTTTAAATATCAAAATTGACAATGAATTAAATTAACAATTTATTAACTAATTAATTAAATTAATTTAGAGAAGAGACAAAAGTAAATTACCCTTAAATTTTATTTGCATTTCTTCAAAGTGACAACATGTTTTCACTTTTTCTTTGTTTCTTCAATCAAATCAACAATTAATTAATTATTTTTTCATTTAATTCAGTAAGTTAAAGGTAGATATTACGATAATTTACTCTAAACTACCTTTAAACAAAACTAATTCAATTAATTAGTTTAATTAGAAAGTGTGACTAAATTACCCTGGTCAACACGTTGTCTTCAAGTGATGCGTATTAATTTTGATTTGATTTCTCTTCAATCCTCGTTTTCTTGAGAAAATGCAACAATTAGTTAATTTTCAACAAAAGTTCAACAATAATCAACAATTAGATTAATTTAAAATTTTTCCTTTTCCATTCCTTTATCAACAATAACTTCAAAGTCAAAGTAGATATTGAATAATTTACTTCAAACTACTTTGTTAACTCTTATCCTATCTAATTAATTGTTGAATTAGGGTGATTTACTTTATACAACAATTAACTTTCCTCAATCAATCCTTTAATTGTCAACCACAAATAAAGTGCAAGTTTTAATTACCTGAACCCTTGGTGACATTGGTTGGATACGTGTTGTTAAATTTTGGATAAATTTAAATGGATAAATGGATAAGCAGTTGTAATCGAAATGGAACTGATTAGGTAATGAAAATATTGAGGTGATGAATTTATAAAGGAGTTGGATGGTGAAAAATTCAAGAAATTCATCAAATTAAAAGTTCTAAAAGTTTACGGTGAAATAACTGAACGTCAATTCTCAGTTTCATTCGATAATGTATCAGTTCAAGCGGATTTACAGTGGATAAGGTCAGTGGTGATCAACGATCTTACATTTGTATTCTATGTGATCAAATAGCACGAGTTCCGATGAAATGTATGGACTGTACCTTCTTCTATTGTCGTACCTGTGCTCGTTTTCTTCATATTCTTTCCAAACAATTAAAATCAACCTCTTACCAAGAATATTAATGAAAAATGGAATAAACAATTTCTATGTCAATTTAATATTTGCGGAATAATGGATTCTCAAATTCGACCTTTAGCCGAACGAACGACAATTAATCACCAGTTATAAATAAATTGTATATATTCAAATTGTAAAGAAAATGGTGATAGCGTTACAATAGGTAAACATTGTAAAATTGTAAACAATCATGCAGCAAATTCAATTATATTGTTCAATGTGGCCGATACTTTTCTTCTCAACGTGAAAATTATTAATCCGAGCGATTTATATTTCATCGATCAAATTGGTCGAAAATTTCACCGAAGATATTCAAGCTGCTTATAAAAAGCAAGCAAATTCATCATGAAATTTATTCAGTGATCCTGAACAATCAACATTATCAGATTCATCATCATCATAAACGCTCATCTGATACCGAATCAAATATTCCAGCTAAAAGAAATTAACTTCTGAAATATCTTCAAAGAAAATCTAAATCTAAAATTCAAAACAAGTAGAACAATTAACAATTAATCAAAAATCAATTTCACCGACTCCTTCATCTTCAACTACAACTACAAATACAACCACAACAATTAAAGAACCAATTTCAGTAGCAGATCTTTTCATTTAGCCGACTTCATTTGAATTACTATTAGAAAAATTAGGTTCACCTTTACCTATTACTCCTTCATCAGATAAACAACAAACTCCCAAAATGCTTTCCGTAATTCCACCTCCAAAACCTTTTACCTTCCAACGTCAAGAAATGTGTGATTGGAATAAACCTCCTCCACAACAACAATTAAAGATTTCATGTGAAAATCTAACGACAATTATTGAACGAATTCCTGATTCAGTTCCTTCAACTCCACAGTCAACTCCCGGTCCAACTCCTTCAGATCCTCGAACTCGCTGATCTATTCCTTCGTTGCACCTCTCATCATCTCAAGAATCTACTTCATTAGCTGTTCCTTCAACTTCAGCATCTCAACCATCTCCTTCTCCATGTTCATCTCAACAATCACCAAATTCAGATGATATCATTTTCAACTTCAGTCCAGCCACAAAATCACTCATCATCCGCCTCATCAGCCGATCACTCAAGCCACTCCAGCTCATACACCTGAAACTGAAGCTGAACTTCTTAAACGCCGTAAATCCCGATTATTACGAAAATATACTAAAGCAATGATTCCTCCTGAACATTTCTCGAAGCAAATTGCTTCCGCAGTTAGAAAAATCAAATATTATGGTTTCAAAATTTGTGCAATTGATATTGAAAAACAAACTATTGTAATGAAGGATGGAAGAAGATTTTAAAAATGCTCCAGTATGGATTTCGATTGTCAACCAGTGCAATAATATTATCTACAGGGCATTTCACTAAGTTTCCAACAAGTTTTTCTCGAATAACATTTTTGTTTTTAAGTGTTGAGGTCCCATATTCGAGTTATGGTAGTTTAGGCCGTACTCAATTGTCATATTAAAATATCAAGGTCATTCCGGTCATTCTGTTAGGATACGGTTTCAAGGTCATTTGGTGGTCACAATCATATTAACTTGCAATCATTAGGCTCCGTACATGTTTACAACTTTTGGACATTTTTAGTTGCAGAGATCAAGTGAATTAATGTCTTTGATGCCCAGGATGTGACTGATTGAACTAAGTATGTCTCCAGATCCGAAAGAAACGCTTTTTCTATCAATTGCTCTCACGCAACTTGATACAACAGGCGATGGATACATCAATGCTCGTTCTAGTACAGAGAAACAAGAGTTAATTCGTTGCGCTGCTGTCCCACGAACTGAATCAACTTTAACACCTAATTTTTCAACAACAAATCCAACATCCCCAACGTATCCCCATTGGATCGCTAGACCATGAAGTCCATGTTTGAATCTCTCTTGACAAATTGAGTGGTAATTAGAATTGAGAAATCTTAATAAGATGAACAATATTAAGAGAGAAGTCTAAAACCAAACTCAACTTGAATTCAGTTAATGGTTATATATTGAAAGTAACTTGGGGATATAATTAAAGAGAACTTCTTCCCTTTTCTCCTTTCTAACTCTTGTTATTGGAGATAAAGATGAAGATGAAGATAATCTTAAGATTAACATAATAAGATGATGATGTTTATACATCAAGGGAATACAAAAAATTAGACAGTAAAAAGAAAGAGAAAGATTTAAGCTTAACAACAAGAGAAAACCAAAGTTACTTTAACCTTTCGTCATTAGACAAAAGCTTTAGCTTTAACTATTATTGCTCATAAGAGTAAACAAGTAATTAGACGATACCATATATGGTTAACCATTTGGTCTTTGTCTGGACATTGAGACTGTTGATAAATAAGTACAAAAATTATTAAGAAAAAGTGACAATTGAACAATTAATCAGTTAATCAACATAAAGTTAACTCTATAACTGGGTTAATGTTAATTGTAATTAAAGTTAAAGTGAAATAAAATTAAATTGTTATAAAAAACTTTGATTAACTAAAGTTAAACAAAGTGAAAAGTTGATAATTGAATATTGAAGAGACTAAATTAAGATGATCAAGGATCAACAATCAAACTTAAGTTTGATTCCCTTCATAATTGATGATTGAATAGTTCAATTATGATCAAAGTTTATTGGATTTATTATTATAAATGGATCGAAATTATTAGATCAAGTGAAAAATGCAAAAAGTCATCGTGAAGTGATAAGTGAAAGATGAACATTGGTTATTAAACAAGCGATCAGTTAGAGAACATTATTATCATCTTCTTGGATGCTGAAGAAATTGTTTGCTATTTTTTCGATAGCGTCTAAGTTCAATCCAATTATCGTGTGATGATTACCATCAAAAAAGTGTTCGGTTCCAAGCTAAGAAAACACATAAATAATCAGTTGATTAGTAAATTGTGAACAAGATCAGATTGGTTAGTAAATTGACCAATAGCTTTGAAATTTACTTTGGTTTTATTAATACTTACTTTGAATTGAGTTTGTTTTGCACTTTGGAACAACGGTAGATCAGTTTTAGCTTGAATATGAATTATTTCAATAAATTTCGAATTCATCGTTGGTGAATAATTGGTAAGCATTTGTCCTTTCTGCAAAGTTAACTCATTAACTTTAGAAATCATATCTGCTTTATCTGCGGGAATTCCTTTATCGATCATTATTTTTGTGAATTTTTCGAATCTTTCTTTTCGATTGTAACAATTAGCTATTTCAGCATCGAATTGATTTGAATCTAAGTTTGTAAAATTCTTTTCACTACACCCTTGATAAACTCAGTCTCTTGAGTACTCAAAGGAGCATCATCGATGCGATTTTTAGTAATCTCTACCACGTTTTTCAACTTTTCAGGATCAGCATCAATAAGAATCAATTTCTCGATTATTGGTCCACTTCCACTAGAAAGAAAACGGCTCTCTAATTCACAAGCGATATTATAAGCAATTATACCTCCAAAGGAGTAGCCGACCATGTGTATTTTGTCATTTGGTGAATGAGATTTGGTCAAATAATCAGCATAATAATTTGCTGCAGACTCGATTGAGGTAAGAGATGAAAGATCGTAAGGCCAATTAAGTCCGAGTGCTGGTCTTTTAACACGATCAATAAGACCTTTCATCAAATCATAATTTCCTTCGATTGGAGGAACATAATAAGTTGGTTTGAATGAATTTGATCTTTCTAAATCATTCAGATTACTGATTATTCCTTTTGGAACTTGAATTGATAACAGTGATCCAAACATTGAATGTGTATCGTTTAATGAATTGGTCATCGAGATGTTGCTTGATAATGCTGTTGTTTGTTTATCATTGTTCATTTTGGTTGATAATTCCTTCAATTTAGATATTTTGAGAGCTCGGATCTCTTGAGAGGTGATCGAGATGCTATACTGTTTCTCCAGAACATGTTGAACTTCAATTGCCATCAACGAATCCATACCAAGTTCACCTAAAGTAATATTAGGATCAAGTGAATTAATGTCTTTGATGCCCAGGATGTGACTGATTGAACTAATTATGTCTCCAGATCCGAAAGAAACGCTTTTTCTATCAATTGCTCTCACGCAACTTGATACAACAGGCGATGGATACATCAATGCTCGTTCTAGTACAGAGAAACAAGAGTTAATTCGTTGCGCTGCTGTCCCACGAACTGAATCAACTTTAACACCTAATTTTTCAACAACAAATCCAACATCCCCAACGTATCCCCATTGATCGCTAGACCATGAAGTCCATGTTTGAATCTCTCTTGACAAATTGATTCCATATAAGAATTGGCTAATCCATAATTAGATTGACCTTTGTTACCTCTTCCACAAGCGACTGATGAGAAGACCACAAAATAATCACAATCAACTGGAGCTAATGATCGAGTTAATTTATCTAAATTCTTTGTTATTTTAACTTTAGATGAACAAACTTTTTCATAAGTTTCAGCATTTTGATCGGATATTAAAGCATCAGACAAAACGAGAGCACAATTAAATATCCCACCAATTGGATAAGGTGAAAGGGATTCGAAAAGTGAACAACAATCCTGTTCTTTAGTTAAATCGTGTGTCGATAGAATGACATTAGCACCAAGTGACTCTAATCGATCCAAAGATAATTTATGATAAGACGTTTTAGGTCCCGATCGAGAATTAAGGACCAATCGACGAGCTCCTTTACTAATTAACCAAGATGATAATTCCAAACCAAATCCACCGAACCCACCGACAATAATATAAGTTTTATGTGAATAGAAAATCGGCGATTTAATTGCCAATGGTATCGATCTTGTTGATATTCCATTCGCGTCTTTTGATGGCATGAAAGAACATTCACCATCTCTAGTTTCATCTTTTATTTTGATCAAGACTTTACCAATGTGTTTACCTGTGGCCATAAAGCGAAAAGCTTCTTCAACCTGATTCATTTTGAATACTTTGTGTGGAATTGGCTTAATTACTCTAGAAGCAATCCCTTGGTTCATATATGCAGTGATTTTCTCTTTGTTATTTTCTATTCCAACTTCTTTACTAATCGGACAACTCGCAGAGCCAATGAAAGAATCAAGTATAATTCCATGAAAAGTTCTACCCTCATCGAAAAGTCCCACGTTGATATTGTTATTCTGCATAATGTCATATTTACCAATTTCCAGAAATCGTCCACCTGGTGCTAAACATCTCACACTTGCTTGTAGTTTATCCTCAGACAATGAATTGAGAACAACATCAACACCTCGACCATTTGTGTGTCTAAGAATATGTTCTTCGAATGAAGTTGATCTCGAATGAGAGAAACTCGTTTCGTCGAGCGAAGGAAATTGTTCTTGAAGAAATTTCCGCTTCTCATCTGTACCAACCGTTGTAAAGATCTTACAATTCATACTCAAACAAATGTTTATCGCTGCTATTCCAACTCCTCCTGTTCCTGCATGAATAAGAACAGATTCTCCTTGACGAAGTTCACCACGAACCAAAAGACTATAAATCGCAGTTGCATAAACGACTGGAACGGTAGCTGCATCTTCCATGCTCCATGTTGAAGGAACAGACCAGCTAAAATCATTCGAACCAACTATAAGGTTAGTCGCTAATGCTCGATGAGGGACAATACCCATAACTCGATTACCATTTGAATCGACACCAGCATATTCTAATCCAATCGGTGTTGGCATTTCTACTGGAATACGCCAATCGGGATTAAGATTAGAAGGTAATCTTCCAGTCGCATGCATAATATCTTTAAAATTAAGAGATGAATAGTTGATCGTCACGAGAGATTGACCTTTTTTAGAATCAGGAATTGGATTGAATTGAGTCCATACAAGTGATGAAAGATCACCAGGAATTAAACACTGGACATAAGCATCTTTACTTTGGATTAAACATTTGCTATCGGTCTCTGGTTTTGTCGGTATCTCGAAGTGACAATAATCTCCCCATCCGAGTTTATCATCATAAATATTGAATTTACAGTCATTAGATATTAGTTGATGGAAAGTTGCACTATGCAAATCGATTGATGATAAATCGATTCCTTTAGAACCAGGTTGAAGAGCAACACAACGAATTCGAGATCCAAAGGTTCTAAACTCAGACATTTAGCTAAACCAAGTACACTTACATCAGAAACATTTTGACTAACCAACCAAATTATTGATTCTTCATTGGCTTTTATTTCATCCTTGAGATTCTCAAGCCACGAATATTCAAATGGATTAACTCGGATAATCTTATGTTTCTCAAGATTAATCGACTCTGGTAACTTTTTGAACATTAATCCGACCAAAGGTAACGATTTGGATGAAAGGGTTCGTTTACTTATACAAACCCAATTATTTTCTTTCATTTTATCAATTAGTGAATTTGAGTCAATTGAATTTGGGAGAAAATCTTTCAACAGATTTTGAACTAATGGATTCGATCTTAGACTTTCAAGGTTTGATGTCTTTGAGTTCTCTCTGGTCAATATCAACAAATGACCATTTGGTTTTAGAATCGATTGAATTTTTTCGACATTTGAGATTAATGAATCAATTGACTTATTAGTCAGTTTGTAAATGACTAAATCGTTTTTACTCAGATCACTTGGAGCTGGTGATTCATCGATATCCCAAACAATTGAATTCACAGCCGAAAGTTTATCAACGGTCTCTGATTCAGGTACATTCGATTTCACCAAAGTATAATCAACTTTCATTGAGCCTAATGATTGTGTTTCAAGAAATGATTGAACAGAATCAAAGAGAAAACATTGAGTATCATTGATTTCGATAATACTGGATTGCGAATTAATGTGTCCACCATAATATTCATGAAGTGTCGCAGTATTTACGAATGGCTTTAAAAATCTTTGATTAGAATGAAGAACTGCATTTGTACCAATCAACAAGTCATCAGATAGTTTAGAGGTAATTTCTGCCGTTGGTGTTTCTCCTCGACACAAACAGATTAAATAATTAGCCAGTGAATGTTGCTCTTTTTCCAGGTTAATGGTGTTTGTTAATGATGAAATTTCCTGATCAATGTTACAATCACTCGAAGTTAGAGTCTTTTTTCGTAACAAATCAATCAGACCAAAGACCAGTGATGAATATGATTCGATTGATTGTAATGTCATTTCATCAACAGAACAACTTTCATCGAATGGAGTGAAATCATAAGTTTCAAGAATAACTAATTGGTTTCTCCGATTAGTATCGGTTGCATTGAGCCCTTTGACCCAAACGCCATCAGTTGACAATGTTTGTGTAATTGGATCATGATAAACATTAAATTCTGGATAAATTTGTTTCTTTTTATCATCGGTCGAAGATGAAACTTCATTTGATAACTTTGAATCCTCTTCAGTCATCTGTGGTGGTTTATTTAAAGAGTTAACTTTTTCCATGATAGAAATTGGATCACAGATCAACGATTGAAAACCAGTAGGAATATAAGATCACGATTATTTTGACTGGACAACAAAATTAATTGTAAAGCTGAATCAGTAAATGTTATCCAAGTTTTTAGAAAACTGAAGATTCCAGCAAGAGATTTACCGATTGTGGTTGACGCTTTCAATTCTGAATTTTTTGGGTCTCGCCATTCGACTATCCCATGTGATCCTGAGTTCGAGGCTGAAGTAAGACACTGAAAATGTGGACCATAATCGTAGCCACGAACTCGTAACTCTTTGTAAATATCTTCTTTACTGAGATCATATTCACGAGTTTCTTCTTCAAGCTTAGAATGACAAGTTCTTACCAAATCCAAATCAGGACCTCCAAACGCTTTACCAAAGGCAACAACAGCACCACTTTCAAAAATACTAAAAGTTCCGTTATAAGGTAAATATTGAACAGTAAACTTAACCTCTTTTTCAGTTAAAACCGTAGCTCGAATTAGTCTTATGTCTCGAAATTCAATCGGAAAACGTGTTGATACAATTCCAAAATACTTAGCTACTGTGTACCAAACAAACATCAATAAACCCGTCGCTGGGTAAAGTATTCGGCCATCGATCTTGTGGTCTGCTAAAAACCAATCTTCAGAATCAGTGAGATTAACTCGAAAAAGATTAATTGTTGAGCACTGCATGTGGTCAAAGTATTCAGGATATTTGAAGACTTTCCAATCGGCCGAATGATCAAATTTGATTAATGAATTGAGTGAAAGAGTATCAACTGGAACAGGATAATTAACAGTTGGATATAAATGTTCAAGACAATAGTCGATTCCTTGGTCAGCGTAAAGTTTACCTAAACAGGTAAATAAACTGTCACCAGATAGAAAACCTTTATCGCTGTTGGATAAATTATACTGAAGCAGATTAGATGGTGAGTTTTGTTGATTAAAAATTGATTTCGGATAAATGAATTGTTGATCATCTGCGTTGACTATCAGGGCTGAAGTTGATTCTGTCAACTCTAAAATCACACGAATGTACTCATCTGGCTGAAGGATATTTCTGATCAGGTAACTTTTTAAATGGTTCATATTAATGATTCCTTGATATTTAATTGGACGCATCAACAGAACTCGTATTGAAATCAAAAAACTCATCGTTCTCAAGCGATTCTTTAGGCCATTTGACCATAATATTAGCCATTTGTAGATCGACAATTGTATTAAACATTTCATCATAATGTCCAGAGATGATACACGATTTACCTGATGTTTTCTTTGTGAGTTTTATTCCTTCTGATAAATGAGGTTTAATTTGTTCACATGATGATAAAACTTCAATTGTTGGATTGATTATTGATTGATCTTCTATTTGGACGAAATGTCCAAACCAATAAGCAGTTAGAATGACTTCTTGTTCAGTCATCTTATCGTTGGCATAAAGATTAATCAAAGATCCAATTGTTGGAATCACAACTCCATCGATATTTAATTGTATCGATTTAAATGATTAACAATCGCCAATTGAATAGCAATCGATGTAACAATCGATTCCAAAGGGTTAGTAATTTTTATCTCACCGAAAACAAGATCAAATAAATTCAAATCAAATGGTGTGAGGTAAGTTGTCAATCTAGCGATAGTATCTGAGAAAACAGCCAAATCTCTTAAATCTGGATGCACGTTTTTGAGATTTGTTGATGATGTCAGATAGACTTTTCTCCGTTCAACTGAATCGAGTTGGTTTCCAATGAAATGTTTCATTGAATATTTTCCAGGTTCTCCTTCAATCAATGTGAATCCACGATGAGGCATTTTACGAGTTTTTGAATATTCATTAAGAAGATCGAGAAATGATCTGGTTAATTTATTGACCGATGATTCGAGATAATTTTGGACATATTTAATACCTTCGACTGAACGACCAGGGATATTTACTAATCGAGGTAATTTTGATAGAGTTAAATTGAACTCATCAGCCGATGATCGGACATTATGACCACGGAGAATAACATGAGCATTAGCACCTCCAAATCCAAAGCAACTTAGCGAGATAATTTCATCTTCGAAAGGAGTAATCGTTGTAACTGGAACAATTGTCTTGTTCATTAGTCCTTCAATTCGAGGATTAGGAGTTTTTAAATGTAAATTAGGAGGAATCAGACCTTTTTGAATTATCATGTTGGCCTTAATTGTAGCGCAAATACCAGATGCGGCCTCGGCATGTCCCATGTTTGATTTCAAACATCCAACTTTCAAAGGTTTTGATGGATCTCGACCAATACAAAAAACATCGTGAATGGCTTTTAGTTCAACCGGATCACCAGCCTGAGTACCAGTAGTATGAGACTCGACATAGCTCACTTTGGTTGGATCAAGACCAACTTCGGTGTAGGTTTCATAAATCAATTGTCGTTGTAAATCGACCGATGGAAATGAAATGCCCTGATCTTTATAACCATCGGTATTGGATCGAGAATTAACTATCGTTGAGTAAATACGTTTAGCATCTGATGATTTTTGTAATACGATACAACAAACGGCTTCAGATCTTCCATAACCATCAGCTGATTCATCGAGACACTTAGATCGACCATAACGAGAAACCATTTGAAGATCTCGAAACTGTAAAGTGACCACTGGTATTAAGCAAATGTTGAATCCAGCGACCAAAGCTTGATCACAAATTCCTGACTTAATAGCTGTAAATGCTTCATTCAATGCTGAAAAACTTGACCCACAGGCGGTGTCGAAGTGACAAACTGGTCCTTTTAGATCGAAAATATAAGGAACCAATGTCGCATACATTTGTTTGTAGTTAGGAGACTCAAGTGGCTCTTCACCCCAGGCTATTTCGGTCTCAGCAAACGATGACCCATAGAAAAATCCAGTTTTCGATCCTTTTAATGATTCTATCGACTTACCTGAAAAGAAATGAAATAAAGTTTCCAATTATGTGTCTTAGAAAAGAAGATCAACATGATCAATCGTTTATTCACACAGTCATTGGCGAGGTAAGAGATCAACAAATCATTTTGGTATTGTATATTCAATCACTATTAGGTAACAGTAACAAATTGTCCGAATTCATAGAAGAGTAAAAAAGTTCTACACTATTTAGTTTATTTTCAGTCTCATAACTTTCAACATATTCTTGATATAAATAACAAAAGATCCCCTCATACGTCAAGAGAATTTCCTTCCACGAATCTCTCTTAATCGCTTAGGGCAGACTGACCCATGTTCAATTACTGTTCACATAGATGCTGCAAAGGTTTCACTTGATTGATTATTAATAATACTATCGTTAAACTATTGATCGATATCCATTTCTTACCTGAATCAATGATCGCTTCATAAGTGACTTCCAATAATTTCCTTAATTGTGGATCCATGTGATGAGCTTGATATTCGGGGATCGAAAAAAATTGAGCATCGAATTTGTTTAGATTACAAACTTTTCCGCTTACTTGAGGTAAATTAGTATGACCTGTAAATCAATGAAAAATAATATTGAGACAACAGTTGACCGTCAACGCTAGAGTTTTTTAAATTTTGAACATTGAACGCTTTAAAATCGGTTTTATCAAATTAATCTAGATTTGTGTCTTTTACATGGTTTCAAGTTTCCAAGAAGTTAGCTTGTGAAGATCTATTTAATTACCTGAACGGAATCGATCATTTCCTCCAGTTATCATGTCAACAGAATTGAACAGATTATCAGCAAATTCATCCACTGATTCCGATTTTGGGAATCGACCAGACATTCCTGAGATGACCACATCCTCTTTCACTTTCCATTTACGATGAATAAAGTTATCGTTATATTTAATATCCATGATTTTTCTAGCTTTATAATAGCAGTAATAATAATTAGCTATTAGTACAAGAACAAAAATGGAAGAAAGATCAAGTTTCACAAAATTTGTAAGTTTATTGATAAATCAAAGTTTATTAGAGGTATATAATGTCAAGCATCGAGAAGAAATAAGCAAATGAATTACATTTAATTAGTTGCATGTGATTAGTTTCAGATTTTTTTATCAATTTGATCAATTGTCTTTGATTTATTAATAATTATGGGCATCAACATTTGGAGTTGTTTTTGATTATTTAAATGAAGATTAAAAGTACATGTGAACGATCTGATTAACAGTATTAGCATTAGTATTGCATGTAATACATTGAGTATTATGATATATAATCATGGTTTTCTATCAATTTGATCGATCACGAAACTAAAGCAGTAAGTTAATTGAGATTAAATATATGATAATAACAATATTTTATCCTTGAAAAGAGGACAAAATCACTAATTGTAAAATAACTCAATTTAAAATTTTGAAATTGATTATCATTGATTAGATAATGTCAATCAAAGTGTTAAGAGATCAGTTAAAGTTGTCCCATCAATAGTGCTTTAATATTCCGACATTACACAAAAGACGTATTTTCTTGCGAAAACTAATTTAATGAATCAAGATATGAAGAAAGACAAATAAATGTATAGATTATATTCTTTTGCTTTATTCAATCAAGACTTAGATATTATCCAAAAAAGTCAAAAATCGAATAACAAATAATTAATCTAAACTATTCCATAAAAATTAACACAAAACGTATTAAATTAATACTTTGTAGCGATATCAATCAAATGCATGTACTTTTATTTTATAATGTATGTTATTGATTCTTAATCATGGTCAAAATAATATGAATTTCTCATTCAACTCATCTTAAATTGTTCACGCTTTCGAGTCTCAATGCATTGATGGTTTTGGATTGATGGCACAGTTTTTTGTCAATGAAAAAATAATAACTTAAACTATGCTATTATCATACGAACAGATTTAACGAGATTAACGAACTTAGTATCATCTTTAATCAAGGTAAGTAATTAATCAGTTGTTTCATCTAAATTCGTATTTACTCAGGCATTTATTGCAATGAATGCCTCATAAAAGCCTAAAGTAATTTCCTTGATTTTTGATCCTCATGATTATGATATTTATGTATCGAGAAAAAATTCGTCTTTAAATTTATTCATTGATTAACAAACTTTTCCCTTGTGTTAAATCATTACCTTTAAATAGATCAAATGATAACGACGATTCTTTGAAAGTAAATGCTCGGATGAGATCGATTTAATTGATTAGATAATTTTTCAATCTGGTTACAAAAAGTATAACAATAATCTGTTGAGAAAAAGTTTAGTAATTTTAGCGAAATGGCCATTTTCAAGATCGGTTTATCTTATTCGGAGCTTATTGAAATGTCAGGAAAATGTCTCAGCTTTTTACCTTTCTACTCATTATTACTATTATATTGTTCATTAGATTGTATGTTAACTTTTCATTTCTTGTCCTGAATTGGCTCATTATGATGAAATTCATTTTCTCGGAGCGGATCTTTAGCGAAGTAAGTAGAATAATTGATAAACCAGTGATTTAACCTTGTAAGCTTTAAGGCATTTGAACCTTACCTGGTACTTGTATTAGAATTAGTTCGAGACAACTCTGGTTCTTCACAAGATTCTAGAATTTAATCATTAAAAATACTGAATTCAATAAAAGTGAGTCTATCAGAACAAGCGGAAAATACAAAAATTGATCACAAAGTTATAAACGATGAATTAGAGAGCGTTAAGATTATTGGATATCGAAGAAATTGTTCGCTATTTTCTCGATAGCGTCCAAATTTAATCCAATTACCGTGTGATGATTACCATCGAAAAAGTGTTCGGTTCCAAGCTAAGAGAAATTAAAAAAATATTGATTAGTAATTGTGACAGAATTAAATTGGTAAATCGATCAATGGGTTTGAATTATTCTTACCTTGAATTGAGTTTGTTTTGCGTTTAGGAATAATGGATGATCAGTTTTAGCTTGAATATGAATCATTTTGGTTAATTTCGATTTCAGTTTTGTTGAATAATTGGCAAGCATTTGTGCTTTTTGAAAATTTAGTTCATTTATTTTAGAAATCATGTCTGCTTTATCTTCGGGAATTCCTTTATCGATCATTATTTTTGTGAATTTTTCGAATCTTTCCTTTCGATTGGAGCAATTTCTTATTTCGAGATCGAATTGATTCGGATCTAGATTTTCAAATACTCTTTTGATTACTCCTTTAACAAATTCTGTTTCTTGGGTACTCATGGGAGCATCTTCAAATCCACTTTTAGTGAATTCTACCACGTTTTTAGCTTTTCAGGATCAGCATCAATAAGAATTAATTTCTCGATTATTGGTCCATTTCCGTTAGATAAAAATCGTTTCTCTAAATCACAGGCGATATTATAAGCAATAATGCCACCAAATGAGTAGCCAATCATGTGTAACTTGTCACTTAGTGAATGACATTTGGTCAGATAATCAGCATAATAATTTGCTGCAGACTCGATTGATGTAAGAGAGGAAAGATCGTAGGTCCAATTAAGTCCAAGTGCTGGTCTTTTCACACGATCAATAAGACCTTTCATCAAATCATAATTTCCCTCAATTGGAGGAAAATAATAAATTGGCTCGAATGAATTTGATCTTTCTAAATCACTGAGATTGCTGGTAACTGTTTTTGGAACTTGAAGAGATAAAAGTGGCCCTATCATCGTATTTATTTCACTCGATTCATTTACACCCAAGCTGTTATTTGTCAAAGATTCTGATGTTTGTTTATCATTTTTAATTTTGTTTGATAATTCTTTCAATTTAATGATGGTTAGAGCTCGAATCTCCTTTGAATTCATTGAGATACTGTACTGTTTCTCTAAAACTTGTTGAACCTCAATTGCCATCAACGAATCCATACCGAGTTCACCTAAAGTAACATTTGGATCAAGTGAGTTAACATCTTTGAAACCCAAAATATGACAAATTGAGCTGACTATGTCTCCAGATCCAGTTGAAAAGCTTTTGGTATCAACTGATTTCACCAAACTTGACACGACGGGCACAGCATAAGCCAACGCTCGTTCTAGTACAGAGAAACAAGAGTGAATTCTTTGAGGCGCTGTTCCATGAACAGAATCAATGTTGCCACCTAATTTTTCAACAACAAATCCAACGTCACCAACGTATCCCCATTGGATCGCTAGGCCATGAAATCCATGTTTGAATCTCTCTTGACAAATCGATTCCATATAAGAATTGGCTAATCCATAATTAGATTGGCCTGGATTTCCTCGTCCACAAGCGACTGATGAGAAGACCACAAAATAATCACAATCAACTGGAGCCATTGATCGAGTTAATTTATCTAAATTCTTTGTTATTTTTACTTTAGATGAACAAACTTTTTCATAAGTTTCAGCATTTTGATCGGATATTAAAGCATCAGACAAAACGAGAGCACAATTAAATATCCCACCAATTGGATAAGGTGAAAGGGATTCGAAAAGAGAACAACAATCTTTTTCATTAGTTAAATCGTGAGTTGATATGATGACATTAGCACCAAGTGACTCTAGTCGATCCAAAGACAGTTTATGGTAAGACGATTTAGGTCCTGATCGAGAATTAAGGACCAATTGACGAGCACCTTTACTAACCAACCAAGAAGCTAATTCCAAACCAAATCCACCGACAATAATATAAGCTTTATTTGGATAGAAAAGCGGTGATTTCATCGACATAGGAGCCGATTTAGTTTCATCCATTTGTTTCGAGTCTTTTGTGGGTAAATAACATTCATCATCGCGAATCTTAACTAACACTTTTCCAATGTGTTTACCTGTGGCCATAAATCGAAAAGCTTTTTCAACCTGATCCATTTCGAATACTTTTCGTGGAAGCGGCTTGACGGCTCCTGAAGCGATTCTTTTAATCATAAGTGATCTTATTTCTTTTCTTAATTGCTCCATACCGTCTATTTTACCAATCACATGACCAGCAGTACTAATGAAGGAATCGAGTAAAATACTATGGAAAGTTCTACTCTCATCAAAAAGTCCCACGTTAATCTTATTATTCTGCATCATATCATATTTACCGATTTCCAGAAATCTTCCACCCGGTGCTAAACATCTAACACTTGCTTGTAGTTTGTCCTCAGATAATGAATTGAGAATCACATCAACACCTCGACCATTTGTGTGTCTAAGAACATGTTCTTCGAATGAAGTTGATCTCGAATGAGCGAAACTCGTCTCGTCCAGTGAAGGAATTGTTCTTGAAGAAATTTCCGCTTCTCATCTGTACCAACCGTTGTAAAGATCTTACAATTCATACTCAAACAAATGTTTATCGCTGCTATTCCAACACCTCCTGTTCCTGCATGAATAAGAACAGATTCTCCTTGACGAAGTTTACCGCGAATCAATAGACTATAAATCACAGTTGTGTAAACGACTGGAACGGTTGCTGCATCTTCCATGCTCCATGTTGAAGGAATAGGCCAGGAGAGATCATTTGATCCGATGATTAGTTTAGTCGCTAATGCTCGATGAGAGACAATACCCATAATCCGGTTACCATTCGAATCGACACCAGCGTATTCTAATCCGATTGGTGTTGCGATTTCTACTGGAGTGCGCCAATCGGGATTAAGATTAGAAGGTAATCTTCCAGTCGCATGCATAATATCTTTGAAATTGAGTGACGAATAGTTGATTGTACAAAGAGATTGACCTTTTTAGGATCAGAAATCGGATTGAATTGAGTCCATACAAGTGATGAAAGATCACCAGGAATTAAACACTGGACATAAGCATCTTTACTTTGGATTAAACATTTGCTATCGGTCTCTGGTTTTGTCGGTATCTCGAAGTGACAATAATCTCCCCATCCGAGTTGATCATCATAAATATTGAATTTACAATCATTGGTTATTAGTTGATGGAAAGTTGGACTATTCAAATCAATGGATGATAAATCGATTCCTTTAGAACCAGGTTGAAGAGCGACACAACGAATTCGAGATCCGTAAGGTTCTAAACTCAGACATTTAG